CAGCATCCTTGGTGGTGCAGCACCCTCCCTTAGGCAAGACCCCTCCCCAAGCTGATTCAAAAAAACATCCGTGGTGTTAGACGTGTCCGTGTGGTGCAGCACCCTCTGCTGGGCAACGCCCTTCCCCAAACTGTTGGAATATAGCATCCTTGGTGTTAGACAAGCCCCGCGTGTGGTGCAGCACCCTCCGCTAGGCAAGGCCCCTCCCCAAGCCGACTAATGCAAGAACACATCCTTGGTGCTAGGAGGGCCCCAGTGTGGTGCAGCACCCTCTGCTAAGCAAGGCCCCATCGCCAAACTGATTTAAACAAAACGCCATTGGTGCTGGACGTGCCCCAGTGTGGGGCAGCACCCTCTGTTAGGCAAGGCCCCTCTCCAAGCTGATTAAATCCACCATCCCTGGTGTTAGACGTGCCCCTGCGAGGTGCAGCGCCCTCTGTTAGGCAAGGCCCCTTTTCCAGTTTGTGCTGCACAAAAATAACATTATATATATATATATATACATATATATATATACATATATTCATATATATATATATATGCATAAATCCTCGGTGCTAGACGTGCCCCACTGCGGCGCAGCACCCTCTGCTACGCAAGGCCCAACTCCAAGCTGATTCAAAAAGCATCCTTGGTGTAACACGTGCCCCTGTGGTGCAGCACCCTCTGCTAGCCAAGGCCCCTCCCAAAACTGATAGATGTATATGCAGATACAGATACATAAACATCTATATATATACACACACATATATATATATATACATTGCCCCGGCAACTGGGGTTCCGCGGTTCGGGCCGGCGCCGAAAACGCTACTTGAAGACGCTGTTCCCTATGAAGAAGCGTCCCAGTGAAGACGCTATTCCGGGTGAAGACGCTATTCCCGGTGAAGACGCTATTCCAGGTGAAGACACCATTCCCGGTGAAGACGCATTTCCCTGTGAAGACGCTATTCCAAATGAAGACCTGATTCCCTGTGAAGACGCGCTCTGCAGACACAGACAGCACTTCTTTTATGAAGACGCTGTTCCGGGTGAGGACGCGTTTTCCAGTGTCGACGCTATTCCTTGTGAAAACGCAATTCCTGGTGAAGACGCTATTCCAGGTGAAGACGCTTTTTACGGTGAAGACGCTATTCCTTGTGAAGATGCAATTCCCGGTGAAGACGCTATTGCAGAAGAAGACGACGCGATTCCCGGTGAAGACGCTTTTCCCTGTGAAGACGCTATTCCGGGTGAAGAAGCTATTCCGGGTAAAGACGCTATCCCAAGTGAAGATGCTATTCCCTGTGAGGACGCCATTCCCGGTGAAGACGCTATCCCCGCTGAAGACGCTATTCCCGGTGAAGACGCTATTCCGGGTGAAGACGCTATTCCAGGTGAAAACGCTATTCCCGCTGAAGACGATATTCCCTGTGAAGACGCTATTCACTGTGAAGACGCTATTCCGGGTGAAGACGTTATTCCTGGTGAAGTCGCTATTCCCGGTGAAGAAGCTATTCTCGGTGAAGACGCTATTCTGGGTGAAGACGCTATTCCGGGTGAAGACGCTATTTCCTGTGGAGATTCTATTCCGGGTGAAGACGCTATTCCGGGTGAAGAAGCTATTCCGGGTGAAGACGCCATTCCCGGTGAAGACGCTAATTCCTGTGAAGACGCTAATCTGCGTGAAGACGCTGTTCCCGGTGAAGACGCTATTCCCTGACGCTATTCCGGGAGAAGACGACACTCCCTGTGAAGATGCTTCTCCTCTTCATTAGGCCCAATATTCAACGCGCTCCCCTCTCAATTGTAATTCGAAAAGCAATTTTACTCTACGCTTTCCGTGTCCAACACAACACGTGCCCCATCTGCTGTGCGACACCCTCTGCTAGGCAAGACCCCTCCCCAAGTTGTATAAAACAGAATCCTTGGTACTAGACATGCCCCATCTGCTGTGCAACACCCTCTGCTGGGCAAGACCCCTCCCGGAGGACCCCTCCCCAAGTTGATTAAAAAGAATCCTTGGTGCTAGACGCGCCCCACCTGCTGCGCGGCACCCTCTGCTAGGCAGGGCCCCTCTCCATGTTGATTAAAAATGAATCCTTGGTCTCAGACGTGCCCAATCTGCTGCGCGGCACCCTGTACTAGGCAAGACCCCTTGCCAAGTTGACTAAAAAAGAATCCTTGGTGCTAGACGTGCCCGTTTGCAGTGCGGCACCCTCTGCTAGGCAAGACCCACCCCCAAGTTGATTAAAAACAAATCCTTGGTGTTTGATGTGCCCCATGTGTTGCGCGGCACCTTCTGCCGGGCAGGACCCCTCCCCAAGTTGATTAAAAAAAGAATCCTTGGTGCTAGACGCGCCCCATCTGCTATGTGGCACCCTCTGCTAGGCAAGGGCCGTCTCCAAGTTGATTAAAGAAGAATCATCGGTGCTACACGTGCCCCATCTGCTGTGAGGCACCCTCTTCTAGGCAAGACCCCTGCCCAAGTTGATTAAAAAAGAATCCTTGGTGCTTGATGTGCCCCAGGTGTTGCGCGGCACCTTCTGCCGGGCAAGACCCCTCCCCAAGTTGATTTAAAAAGAATACTTGGTGCTAGACGTGCCCCATCTGCTATGTGGCACCCTCTGCTAAGTAAGACCCGTCCCCAAGTTGATTAAAACAAAAATCCTTGGTGCAAACCGTGCTCTATCTGCTGCGTGGCACCCGCTGTTAGGCAATGGCCCTCCCAAGTTGATCAAAATAGAATCGTCGGTGCTAGACATGCCCCTTTGCTGCGCGGCACCTTCTGGTAGGCAAGAGCCCTCCCCAAGCTGATTTGGAAAAAAAACTCCTTGGTGCTAAGCGTGCCCCATTTGTTGCGCGGCACCCTTTCCAAGGTTTGCCCCTTTGCTGTGCTGCACCTTCTTCTAGGCAAGACCCGTCCCCAAGCTAATTTACACAGAATCCCTGGTGCTAGACATGCCCTACTGCTGTGCGGCAACCTACTCTAGGCAAGACCCCTCGCCAAGTTGATTAAAACATAATCCTTGGTGCTAGACATGCCCCTTTGCTGTGCGACACCTTCTGGTAGTCAAGAGCCCTCCCCAAGTTAATGAAAAAAGTATCCTTCGTGATAGGCGTGCCCCATCCGTTGCGCGGCACCTTCTACCAGGCAAGACCACTCCCCAAGTTGATTAAACATGAATCCTTGGTGATTGATGTGCCCCTTTGCTGCGCGCCACCCTCTCAAAGGTGGGCCCCTCTGCTGCACCTTCTGCTATGCAAGACATCTCTCCAAATGGATTTAAACAAAATCCCTGGTGCTAGACATGCCCTTTTGCTGCGCGGCACCCACTGCTAGGCGAGACCCCTCACCAAATTAATTAAAACAGAATCCTTGGTGCTAGACATGCCCCTTTGCTGTGCGGCGCCCTCTGATCGGCAAGAAAATTGATTTTGAACCAAAAAAACCTTGGTGCTAGGCGCGCCCCTCCTGCTGCGCGGCACCTTCTGCTAGGCAAGACCCCTCCCCAAGTTGATTTAAAAAAGGAATCCTTGGTGATAGACGTGCCCGATCTGCTTTGCGGTACCTTCTGCTAGGCAAGACCCCCCCAAGTTGATTAAAAAAATCTTTGGTGCTAGACGTGCCCCATGTGCTGTGCGGTACACTTTTTTTACGCATTGCCCACCGGTTAGGCGTTCAAGAAGCACCACGGTCGCACGCAGCCAGCCTAGCTGTGCATGAGGCCGAAGCGAAATAGAAGCGTCAGCCCGAAGAGAGGCTTCACGAGCTTCAATGGGCGTCAGGGGAACAGAGGCTTCAGGCCGAATAAAGGCTTCACGAGCTTCAATGGGCGTCAGGGAAGAGAGGCTTCAAGCCGAAGAGAGGCTTCACGAGCTTTACCGGGCGCCAGGGGAATACAAACCGAATAAAGGCTTCACGAGCGTCACCGGGCGCCAGCGGAATAGAGGTTTCAGGCCGAATAGGGGCTTCACGAGCTTCACCAGGCGCCAAGGAAATCAAGGTTTCAAGCCGAATAAAGGCTTCACGAGTTTCACCGGGCGTCAGGGGAATATAAGCTTCAGGCCGACTAGAGGCTTCACGAGCTTCACCGGGCGTCAAGGGAATAGAGGTTTCAGGCCGTAAAGAGGCTTCACGAGCTTCAGTGGGCGTCAGGGGAATAGAGGCCCCAGGCCGAATAGAGGCTTCACGAGCTTCAGTGGGCGCCAGGGAAATAAAGGCGTCAGGCCGAATAGAGGCTTCACGAGCTTCAATGGGCGTCAGGGGAGTACAGGCTTCAGGCCAAATAGAAGCTTCACGAGCATCACCGGGCGTCAGGGAATAGCTGCTTCAGGCCGAATGGAGGCTGACGAGCTTCAATGGGCGTCAGGGGAATAGAAATGTCAGACCAAATTGAGACTTCACGAGGTTCAGTGGGCGTCAGGGGAATATAAAGGCTTCAGGCCGAATATAAAGGCTTCACGAGCATCAGTGAGCGTCAGGGGAATAGAGGCTTCAGGCTGAATAGAGGCGTCTAGAGTCGCCACCCCACCAGTGCGTCGCAATTCGTAGGCCAAATAGAGGCGTCACGGGCCGAATGCAGGCTTCAGGCCGAATAGGAGGCTTCAGGCCGAATAGAAGCTTCACGAGCTTCAATGGGCGTCAGCGGAATTGAGGCTTCAGGCCAGATAGAGGCGCCACGAGCTTCACATATATATATATATATAGAGAGAGAGAGAGATCATCCTTGGTACTAGACGTGCCCCGGTGTGGTGCAGCACCCTCTGTTAGGCAAGGCCCTTCCCCAATCTGATATATATATATATATATATATATATATATATATATATATATACATATAGATAAGAAGCTATTGGTGCTGGACGTGCCCCGCTGTGGTGCAGCACCCGTCAAGGCCTCTTCCCAAGCTGATGGAACAAGCATATTTGGTGCTTGACGTGCTCCGCTGCGGTGCAGCACCCTCTGCTCGGCAAGGCCCCTCCCCAAGCTGATTGACACGTGAGTTAAACAAGTTCTTTGGTGCTAGACGCGCCCCTCTGTTCCACTAACCCCCCCCTTGCTGGGCAGGCTTCACCGCCAAAGTAAATTAAGCCAACTCTGTGTTGCCAGACTCTGGTCGCGGTCGGGGTGCACTATCAGGATAATGCCGCCGGGAGACAGTGACCAATACCAGTCTTAGTCTCGGGCAGGGCGCGGTCGGGGCACATTATTGCAATAGCTCAATAAACATGCCAGTCCGCGACCGCGACCAAAACTATTCCTGATCTTGGTCGCGGCTATTGGAATGCACGCTTGCATTATGAAGACTACCTAATAACAATGCCGCCACACGACCAGAACCAGAACCAATCCTGGACACTGTTGCGGTTCTTGTTCTGGTTCTGGTTCTGGTTCTGGTTCTGGCTCCAGTTTCTTCGTTCGTCGGGGTCCCAAAAAAGACCCCCCCAAGGTACGGTTTTGGTTCCGATTCGGGTTCCGGTTTCCTTCTTCTTCGGGGTCCCAAAGAAGACCCCCCCAAAATACGGTTTTGGTTCCGGTTCCAATTCTGGTTCCACATTCCTTTTCTTCGGGGCCCCAAAGAAGACCTCTAAATTGTCACGGTTTTGGTTCCGGTTCAGGTTTCCTTCTTCTTCGGACGGGGTCCCAAAAAAGACCTTCAAGGTCACGGGTTTGGTTCTGGTTCCAGTTCGAATTTCGGGTTCCAATTCGAATTTCGGTTTCTTTCTTTTTCGAGGTCCGAAAAAAGACCCCCCAAGGTACGGTTCTGGTTCCAATTCCGGTTCCGGTTCCGGTTTCTTCTTCTTCTTCTTCCTCGGGGTCCCACCCCTCAAAATTTGGTTCCGGTTCAGGTTCTGGTTCAAAATTCCTTTTCTTCGGGGTCCCCAAAAAGACATCCAAAATCACAGTTATGGTTCCGGTTCCGGTTCCGCTTTCCTGCGTCTTCGGGGTCCCAAAGAAGATCCCCAAAAACACGTTTCTGGTTCTGGTTCCGGTTCTGCTTCAGGTTTCCTTGTTCTTCGGGGCTCCCAAAAAGACCCCCCAGGTCACGGTTTTGGTTCCGGTTCCAGTTCTGGTTCCTGTTTCCTTCTTCTTCTTCTTCTTTGGTCCGTGACGGTCGTCGTGGTTCTGGTTCCGGTTCCGGTTCTGAGTTCTGGTTCTGGTTTCCTACTGTTTTGTGCCCAAGAACGCCTCAAATGTTGGTTATGGTTCTGGTTCCGGTTCTGGTTTCCTTCTTCTCCCGAGTCCCGAAGAAGGCCTCCTAGGTCACGGTTCTGGTTCCGGTTCCGGTTTTGCTTCCGGTTTCCTTCTATTTCGGGGTCCCACAGAAGACCGTCCAAGCCATGGTTTTGGTTCCGGTTCCGGTTTTGGTTCCAGTTTCCTTCTTAGTCTTCGGGGTCCCAAAGAAGACCCCAAAGTCACGATTTTGGTTCCGGTTCAGGTTCCGGTTCAAGTTTCCTTCTTCTTCAGGGTCCCAAAGAAAATCCCCCAAGTCACGGTTTTGGTTCCAGCTCCAGTTTTGGTTCCGGTTTCCTTCTTCGGGGTCCCAAAATGGTTCGGGTTTCCTTCTTCTTCGGGGCTCCCAAAAAGACCCCCAGGTCACGGTTTTGGTTCAAGTTCCGGTTCTGGTTCCGGTTTCCTTCTTCTTCTTCTTTGGTACTTGACGGTCGTAGTGGTTCTGACTCTGGTTCCGGTTCTGGTTTCGGTATTTTTTTGTTTGCGCCCAAGGACGCCTCAGATTTTGGTTATGGTTGTGGTTCCCGTTCCGGTTTCGGTTTCCTTCTTCTTCTTCCGCGTCCCGAAGAAGGCCTCCTAGGTCACGGTTCTGGTTCCGGTTCCGGTTCCGGTTTCCTTCTTCTTTGGTTCGGGGAGCCCTCCAGGTCCCCGATCCGGTTCCGGTTCCGGTTCTGGTTTTGGTTTGGGTTTCCTTTTTTGCGGCCCTCTTTCGTTCTGGTTTCGGTTTCGGTTCCGGTTCAGGTTCCCGTTTTGGTTCCGATTTCCTTCTTCCCCCTGCCGAAGAAGGGCGCCGAAATGACCACCAGACCCACACTCGAGCTGGCTGTAGAATTCTGCGAATACGTCGGCAATGTATTGTCTGTTATGCACTGCATTCCCACTGCTGCCTGTCATGCTCGCGATGCAGCCCATTTCCTTGAACTGCTTGCACGCACAGAAGTGTTTGATATTCTTGCACTGCGACAAGATATGGTCGAAATTTTGCTCTCTGAGTTGCTCGTCTGATTGCCCGGAACTCTCGTCGGATCTGCTTTGACACTTGTGAGCGTGATTTGGAAAGGTTGTCGGACTCTCCCGTCGCTGAGCCAACAGTTTCGTTGCTCGGGCGTTGTATGCTGTCGCGGTCTGCACGTATGCGGGTCGTTGGTGCATTGCCGAAGTATCGAGGAGAGCCTCCTCGATCGCTTCACGTATGATTTGTGAATGTTCCGTGGCGTGTAGTATGCTGAATTTGTCTACTCCAGATTTCGTAATAAAAGGGAGGGGGTCTGGACCCTCCAAGACAAGCCATTTCAGACCTCCCCCGTGGGAGAACCCTCCAAAGGATCGTCCCCAGACCCCCCAGGCCCTCCAAGATAGCCTGGAAGAGACCCTCCCCCGAAATGAGACCCCCTCCCTTTATTACGAAATCTGGAGTATCTGCGTCTGCTCGTAACTCTGAATGTCATTTGGAGGCCAAGTGAGCGCTGGTGACTTCCGTTCTCGGCCTGGTCGTCTCGCCGACAGCTGCCGTCAAAACGTGGATTGAGGACGGGTGGTCAGGACGCAAGACCCTTGGAGGCCGAAGCTGGGATTTTCTGGGCGACGGGCGACCAGCGAAAACAGGCCACAGGGGCAAGGAGACGAGGGCACACTAGGTGAAGGCGCGCGTCTTCACCAGGCGCGCTGACTGCAACATCACACGATAGAACTGCGCAACAGCTGTACGGGTGGAAGGCGGCCCTTTTTACAGAGTGGGGCCACCGCTGGGCATGTCCCTTTGAACATTACTACCTCACCGCTCCTCCTCCTCCTCCTCCTCTTCCTCCTCCTCCCCCTCCTCATCCTCCTCCTCCTCCTCCTCCTGCTCCTCCTCCTCCTCCTCCTCCCACTCCTCCTCCTCCTCCTCCTCCTCCTCCTCCTCCTCCTCCTCCTCCTCATCCTCCTCCACCTCATCCTCCTCCTCGAGAACGGGGGATTGTGGAGTCCCTGTGGTTCCAAAGCGCGCGCGCGAGGCTATCGCGCTGAGTTCGCGACTGCTCCTGTGCAAAATCTGCTCTGTGTCGTCCTCCTCCTCCTTCTGCTCCTCCTCCTCCTCCTCCTCCTCCTCCCTCTCTCCCCCTCCTCCTCCCTCTCTGCCTTTTATTTTCTCCTGGTTCCCCCCCCCGGAAAAAAATGTTTTTTTTTTTTTCTGGGGGGGGACACCAGGAGAAAAAAAAGGAATGCGACGTGGCCACATCTGCCCTCCCCCTAGAAGGATTCCTATTGAACGCCCCCACAAGAAGGATTCACAGTGAAATCCTCGACAGAAGGGTTCCTATCGAAACCCTCCACTGAATGATTCCTACTGAAATCCTCCACATGTGGATTCCTACTGAAACCCTCCACTGAAAGATTCCTACTGATATCCTCGAATGGCAATGGCATGGCAATGGCAATGGCAATGGCAATGGTAATGGTAATGGTAATGACAGAGGTGATGGTAATGGTACTGGTAATGGCAATGGTAATGATAGTGGTAACGGGGTATCGACTGGCAATGGCAATGGGAATGGCAGTGGCAACGGTAATGGTAATGGCAATAACAATGGCAATGGCAATGGCAATGGCAATGGGAATGGCAATGATATAGGCAATGGCAATGGCAATGGCAATGGCAATGGCAATGGACATGGCCATGGCCATGGCCATGGCAACGGTAATGGTATTGGTAATGACAACGGTGATGGTAAAGGTAAAGGTAAAGGTAATGGTAATGGTAATGGTAATGGTAATGGTAATGGTAATGGTAATGGTAATGGTAATGGTAATGGTAATGGTAATGGTAATGGTAATGGTAATGGTAATGGTAATGGTAATGGTAATGGTAATGGTAATGGTAATGGTAATGGTAATGGTAATGGTAATGGTAATGGTAATGGTAATGGTAATGGTAATGGTAATGGTAATGGTAATGGTAATGGTAATGGTAATGGTAATGGTAATGGTAATGGTAATGGTAATGGTAATGGTAATGGTAATGGTAATGGTAATGGTAATGGTAATGGTAATGGTAATGGTAATGGTAATGGTAATGGTAATGGTAATGGTAATGGTAATGGTAATGGTAATGGTAATGGTAATGGTAATGGTAATGGTAATGGTAATGGTAATGGTAATGGTAATGGTAATGGTAATGGTAATGGTAATGGTAATGGTAATGGTAATGGTAATGGTAATGGTAATGGTAATGGTAATGGTAATGGTAATGGTAATGGTAATGGTAATGGTAATGGTAATGGTAATGGTAATGGTAATGGTAATGGTAATGGTAATGGTAATGGTAATGGTAATGGTAATGGTAATGGTAATGGTAATGGTAATGGTAATGGTAATGGTAATGGTAATGGTAATGGTAATGGTAATGGTAATGGTAATGGTAATGGTAATGGTAATGGTAATGGTAATGGTAATGGTAATGGTAATGGGTAATGGTAATGGTAATGGTAATGGTAATGGTAATGGTAATGGTAATGGTAATGGGAATGGGAATGGGAATTGGAATGGGAGTGGGGATGGGAACGGGAACGGGAATGGAAATGATAGTGGTAGTGGTAATGGTAATGGTAATGGCACTGGTAATGGTAATGGTAATGGTAATGGTAATGCTAGTGGTAATGGTAATGGAAAAAGTACTGGTATTGGGAATGGGAATGGGAATGAGAATGGGAATGAGAATGGGAATGGCAGCGGTAATGGTAATAGTAATTGTAATGGTAATGGTAATGGGAATGGGAATGGGAATGGGAATGGGAATGGAAATGGCACTGGTAATGGTAATGGTAGTGGCGAATGGCAATGGCAATGGCAATGGTAACGGTAATGGTAATGACAGAGGTAATGGTAATGGTAATGGTAATGGTAATTAATGGTAATGGTAATGGTAATGGTAATGGTAATGGTAATGGTAATGGTAATGGTAATGGTAATGGTAATGGTAATGGTAATGGTAACGGGGTAGCGATTGGCACTGGCAATGACAATGACAATGGCAACGGTAATTGTAATGGCAATGGCAATGGCAATGGGATTGGCAATGGCAATGGAGATGGCAATGATGGTGGCCATGGCAATGGCAACGACAATGGTAATTGTAATG